CCCAGCTACAGTAACCCAAACTTCAATTAATTCATTAAATCAATTATATGTTGATATGACACAACGATGGCAAGTATTAGATTCACAATGTTTACCATCATCAGTATTTGCTTTATTATATTTATATATGACATATAATATTCGATATTATATTCAAAACCAATATTTTAATGATGGTAATTCTTTAACATCATTTACCCTTAAATTTGCATCTTACTTTGCAACAGCCTATGATAGCTATTATTGTCAAACACAAAATCAATATGCATTTTCACAAATAGTTGTACAGCAGCAGTCAATAAATTGTGCAAAACCAGAATTACAAAAGCCAGTAAATCCTGTATGGAAAAATGTATTTGATTATCAAGTATTAAATAAAAGTTATGTTGTAGATGATTTAGGATTAGGTATTAATGCACATATTAATCGTGAATTAGCTTCTGTTGTTTATGATTTAAATTATAAAACGACAGATCAAAAACAAGATTATGACCGAGTTAATGATATATTGCAAGCACTAATTGCAACTGCTACTGTTGATATAGGTCAACGTTATGATCCATTATTGAGTTCACCAGAATTTAGTTTAGCATATTCAGCTGCTATTGCTATATTAATTGGTGGACGACAAAATGCTTGGGATAATGGACAACTATACATCAGTGCACCACCTCCATTGAGAAAGAATCTCATGCTTGCTGTGCAAACAACAGCATTAACTGCTGCTCAAGCTTTTGAAACTGGAATAACAACAACAAATCAACAACGTATCGCTTACTGCCAAGCTCATCATTCTCCAATAAATATTACACCATCGACATAAAATATTATCTTTATTGATGAAAATCGTACGTTTATATGGTTTAAACCTTTTTAAAGTATTAACGAACAAAAAACCTTTTTACTTATAGATACGAAGCTAAAAGCAGTTGATCCTTATTCCCTTGTATATCCACATAAATTAGGACAATATCCCTCACTCTTGAATTTATCTATATGAGCACTATTTTTCCAGATTTATTTATACTTCTTTATACTTTATTTACTTTTTTATTTTTTCTGATAAATTAAATTTTTACTTGTTTTTACTTACTTTTTTTCGTTTTACTTAATAAAGAGTAGAGCAAACATTTTCCTACAAAATGAGACGTTCCGCAGTTATATGCAAAGTTATATAAAAAAATTATTAAGTAAAACGAAAAAATTTTTTCCCATTTTCTCCCATAAGCAAGAGAACATGCAACTAGTCTTTAGCATAGAAAAATAACTCTTGGAAAGTTGTACAATATTTTGAGTAAACAAACTCTACATACCATTGGCTCAGTCCATTATAATTTAAATACGAGAAGAATCAAGGAAATGCACTCATATTTTGCAGTTTTCACCATCAAATTTCAATTTTTTCTCAAAACGAACATCATATTTGGAATATGATGTTAGAAACTGCATTGAACAATCTTTCTCTCGGAATTTTTAGACAACTTTTTTGATTTTCTCCTAACTTTTTCGCCGAGATTTTTGCTCAAGTACTTAAAACATCACTGATACCGGCCTTTTAGGTGCAATCCTTGACTTTTAAGTTGCAACCCATTCGTTTAAGCAGTTGTCTGTTATCTAAAAGGCGTATTTGGTCAGAGAACGGCCGCTCATTCTTTTGCCTTATTTTGACTGGACTTTTGTCGAAAAGACATTTGCGCACATTGCCCAGTTGTTCTTATGGAAAATAAGCTCAAAATACGTATTTAACCTTGGTAGTTTTGAGATTCCATCAGAGAACGTCGTTCTTAGAAAAAGTAACATTCTTGAAAAATCTAGCATACGTTTCCCATAAACCTTGGTATGAAAAGATAGCCAATGAAAGACTGAATAAAATACTCTATGAACAATCCGTACACATCATTTCAATACGAAGAAATTATTTTTACAACAGACAAATTGACATGAAACGCGGCATCAAGGATGTTTTATGTACTTTTATCAAGGGGGAAACACCGTACTCCGTACTCCGCCACTCCGCGGAGTGAACTTTCACTCCGATTCACTCCGTCACTCCGGTTCACTCCGGAGTGAACCGGAGTGACAAGTGGTGTACTCTCTTCTCTCGCATTTGATATAAGCTATTTATTTAAAAAAAAAGAAAGAAATCAGCAATTTATACTATCTCTACCCACCGAAATAGAGACAAGCCCCATTATTATCGGCGATAGAGAAAACAA